GAGGCCATGGCCCTGCCCTCTATCGAGGCAGACACGGTGGCAGATGCCCTGCTGACCATTTTCAGCAGGGTGGGGTTTCCCCAGGAGGTTCTCACGGACCAGGGATCCAACTTCATGTCGGCCTGCTCCAGTGCTTGTGGGAGAAGAGTGCAACACACCTGGACCTCGGCGTATGACCCCCAGACCAACGGGTTGGTGGAGAGGTTCAATGGGATTCTGAAGCATATGCTACGGACCTTTTTGCACAAACACCCACAGGACTTTGCATACAGGGAAGTGCCCCGGGAGTCCACGGGGTTCTCGCCGTTCGAGCTGTTATATGGGAGGAGAGTGAGGGGCCCCCTGGACTTACTGAAAGACGAGTGGGAGGGGAAGGTCTCCCCGGAGGGTGAGCCGGTCGTGGAATACGTCCTGACGTTCCGGGAAAGACTTGCCGAGCTCATGCGCCTGGCCAGAGGGAACCTGAGCAGGATCCAGAGGAAGCAGAAGGTCTGGTACAACTGCAATGCACGGGCCCGTGCCTACGCTACTGGGGACCAGGTGATGGTCCTGATCCCCATGAGGGAGAATAAGCTGCAAGCTGCCTGGGACGGCCCCGTCAAGGTGGTTAAGCAGCTGAACGAGGTGAACTACGTGGTGGAGCTGACAGGCCGGACGCGCGGCCAGCAGGTGTATCATGTTAACATGATGAAGCCATACTAGGACAGGGAGAACTTGGTGCTGGCCGTGTGTAAGCCCTGGGAGGAGCAGGGGGAGGATCCCCTGGTAGGCCTGTTCCCTGGGACCGGAGAGGACTCTTCACTGGAGTCAATTTCCCTCTCGGACCAGCTCACCCCGGCCCAGCAGGCCGAGATCCTAGAGGTGCTGCGTTCCCACCAGCAGCTGTTCTCCGACAAGCCTGGTCTCACCAACCTGGCTGTCCACCGGGTGCAGACGGGCACTCACCCCCCGGTGCGCTGCCCACCTTTCAGGGTCACGGGGAAAACAGCCCAGGACCTGGAGAGAGGGGTCCAGGACATGTTGGCCCTGGAGGTGATCCAGCCGTCCTCCAGCCCCTGGGCCTCTCCTGTGGTGCTGGTCCCCAAGAAGGACGGGTTGATCCGGTTCTGCGTGGACTACCGGCAGCTCAACGCCGTCACGGTGTCCGACGCCTACCCAATGCCAAGGCCTGACGAGCTCCTGGACAAGCTGGGGGGAGCTCGCTACCTCACCACCCTGGACCTCACCAAGGGCTACTGGCAGGTGCCGCTAGACCAGGAGGCCAGACTGAAATCAGCTTTCATCACGCCGCTGGGGCTCTAGGAGTTCCTGGTCCTGCCCTTCGGCCTCAAAGGGGCACCAGCCACCTTCCAGTGCCTGGTGGACCAGCTGCTGCGGGGAATGGAGAACTGTGCCCTAGCGTACATCGATGACATCTGCGTCTTCAGCCAG